TACAACTTCCGAGTCTTATATCGATGAATAAATATTGTAGCGTGTAGAGCTGTTACTGGATAAGTATCTCGAAACAACAACCGTTACTAGGCAACGGCTGGGAGATGAGCAAATATATCAGAGCCGTTATTTGGTAACGCCTTCGCAAAGAAAGCAAGTTCCCATGGAAACGCTTGGAGTACAGCAATGGAAGGTCTGTGTTTTCTGTTGATCCGTGCCGAGGAGTTATAAGGAGGGCAAATGGAGCAAGAAAAGAGAGCTGTCAGTATTCAGTTGTACGGGAGTCTGTGAAGAGAAGACTTGGTCGGTGCAGTTGAAAAATCTCCAATGGAAACGATCCAAAACCCCGTCGACTGTCACTGTATCACCTGACAATATTGTCTTCTTATTGTTCTTAAATAAAGGATCTCCAGTGGTATTTTGTTATTTATTTTCATCATTATTTTCCATAATAATTTCCATCATAATTATTTTCCATTTTTTGTATTCTGAGTTTTTTTGGTCTTTTTGGGCCACCTTCTGTTTCACTAATCCGGATGACCCCCCCCCAACTACTCCGGATTAGCGAGCGTTTACTACATAGGAAGCTCTTGTTCCGGGAAGTTTACGTATGTTTACATGTATCTACAGTTTAGTAGGAGCCGGGGTAGCGTGGTCGGTATAACGACTGAGGGGTCGGAGTTCGAGTCCCGGTAGGGTCTCGAATTTTCTCCTCTCCAAATCGTTCAGACCGGCTCTGGGGCGCACCCAACCTTCTATCCAATGGTTTCAGGGGGTTCTTTCCCCGGGGGTAAAGCAGGAGGGGCATGAAGCTGACCACTCACTTTCATCTTGTGCCGAGGTCAAGAAAATGTGGATCTATACACCAACTCCCCCACACGTCTTCATGGCTTAGTGCGTAATTCGCTGAGCACAGGGACAACTTTATCTTGATGTACATTTTAGTATTACGAGTGTATTAATAATCTGTGGAAGTTCTTAAGAATGTAGGGACTGAAACAATGCTTTTATGTTGCTTATTTAACGACGCTGCCAGTATCGAGACTGCATTGCGTTGATAGGATGCGTGATGAATGTGGAGCAGCTGGTGGTATGAGAATCGGCAGGGGAAACTGAAGTATTTGGATAGAAGCTTCCACAGTGCCACTTTGTCCGCCAAAAAATCCCACATGACTTGACCTGGAGTCAAACCATAGTCGCTGCTGTAGGAAGCTGGCGACTAACCGCCTGAGTTATGGCACGGTCTTGTAATAACAGTTTATGAAAACATTTGTTATTATTACGAGTATATAAAACGCAACACAATTGTGCAAGCATAAATGCGAGCATAGTGCAGTAGTAATGAGCTTATGCTTAGAGCGCAGGAAAGTTACCGTGTAACTGAATTATTACTATGTTCCAGGCCTCACTTACAGCCCAACCAAGACTCACATCCTACAGTAGAAATATACTTTACAGAGACGGCGATTGGCCATGGCTAACAGCGTTTTCCAACCTGGGTCGCAGTTGACTTCGTCTCATGTGACACACAACCTAGAAACATGCTCTACAGCATCAATTTGCGAACGTTTAAAAACGAATCTTGCAACGCACCGCCGGAATTGAAGAAACAAAACCGAAGTTTGACTAACAGAACTCCATTCCAAACAAACCAAATTAGAACAATTACAGGAAAGTGTTTGGGCTGTTACGAGCCAAGTTAGGTCCGACATACAAGCAGAAAATGAAACGTTACTANCACTATGTTCCAGGCCTCACTTACCGCCCAACCAAGACTCACGTCCTACAGTAGAAATATACTTTATAGAGAGCGCGATTGGCCATGGCTAACAGCGTTTTCCAACCTGGGTCGCAGCTAACTTCGTCTCAAGTGACGCACAACCTAGAAACACGCTCTACAGAATCAAGTTGCGAACGTTTAAAAACGAATCTTGCAACGCACCGCCGGAATTGAAGAAACAAAACCGAAGTTTGACTAACAGAACTCCATTCCAAACAAACCAAATTAGAACAATTACAGGAAAGTGTTTGGGCTGTTACGAGCCAAGTTAGGTCCGACATACAAGCAGAAAATGAAACGTTACTACAAAGTTTCGAGGCTCAAACCAGGGAAATCAGAAAGGAATTAAATAGTAGGCTGGAATCAGAAGCCAGACATGTCTCCCAGCTAGTTACGCAGGTGCAAACTGAAATAGCATCTAAATTGGCAGCAGTCAAGACGCAGCCACAGAGCATAAGTAACGAGTTCAACTCTAGGTTAGACCAGTCCAATACCAGCACCCAATTTGTAGTCAATGAACTTGCGGATNGAAACCAAATTAGAACAGTTACAGGAAAGTGTGCGGGCTGTTATGAGCCAAGTTAGGTCCGACATACAAGCAGAAAATGAAACGTTACTACAAAGTTTCGAGACTCAAACAAAGGAATTAAATAGTAGGCTGGAATCAGAAACCAGACATGTCTCCCAGCTAGTTACGCAGGTGCAAACTGAAATAGCATCTAAATTGGCAGCAGTCAAGACGCAGCCACAGAGCATAAGTAACGAGTTCAACTCTAGGTTAGACCAGTCCAATACCAGCACCCAATTTGTAGTCAATGAACTTGCGGATCAGATGCAGGAGCACTGATCTGAAGTGAGCAATCAGATGGTATGACAGAAAAGAGCCTAGGAAAGTTATCGCAGGCAACCACTCAGGAATTAGGAAGGCAATTTGAGATGGTAAACGAGTGGTAGTTNACTCAAACAAAGGAATTAAATAGTAGGCTGGAATCAGAAACCAGACATGTCTCCCAGCTAGTTACGCAGGTGCAAACTGAAATAGCATCTGAATTGGCAGCAGTCAAGACGCAGCCACAGAGCTTAAGTAACGAGTTCGACTCTAGGTTAGGCCAGTCCAATACCAGCACCCAATTTGTAGTCAATGAACTTGCGGATCAGATGCAGGAGCACTGATCTGAAGTGAGCAATCAGATGGTATGACAGAAAAGAGCCTAGGAAAGTTATCGCAGGCAACCACTCAGGAATTAGGAAGGCAATTTGAGATGGTAAACGAGTGGTAGTTCAAGATCTTCAACATGCCACATCTCCTTCTGCCGGACCAGCCAATGACCCTCCGACGGAACCTGAAGGGACTGAAGCAAGCGGTGCATTGGTCAGTGAAAGTCAGCTGTACTCACCAGCCAGCCCTCTGTAATACTTTGACTAATGAAAGCAGCATGAATGGGTGTATGGTGCATGGCACCACAGGGAATGTATCCTTGTCGGGTTATCTAAAAAACTCAGAACTTCCATTACCTCTTTTTGACCATGCAACAGAGACCAAACCTGTATTTCATCTTCTGAGGTTGGATGAATTTATTAACTTCCGTAATGAGCCGAAACCCCTTTGTTTGGCAGTCGTGTTCCAATCCATAGTGGGACACATAGGCAAGCAATGGGTAGAGGCTGTAATGCACAAAGCAGTGGGCAGAAAATCCAATCACTGACAGTTCATGAGTAGCAGCTCTGTAAGTTGGTTATGGTTTTAACTGTTGTCACTCTTTTTTAGCCATGAGGCAAAGACTGAATACCAACTTTGTTGTATATGAACTAGATAAAATGCCAATAGAAACTTACATGTTGCAAACTGTCTAGGGTGATGAAGCTGTAAGTCATAAGTGTATCCGAATGATTTAAATGATTCAAAGATGGGCATGAGGATCTTCAGTATTATCCAAGAAGCAGGTGTCCTTCGATCTCTCGAAATGCAGACAGAATAGTAGATGTCTTTGAAATGGTGATACGAGATCGTCAATGGGCTCTCAGAATGATGGTGAAACAATGACTATTCGTCTGATCCTCCATGAATATTTACAGAGAAGGAAAATCTGAAAAAAGTTCATGCCACACAGACTCATGGAAGAGCAGAAACATTGGAGACTCACATCACATCAAGACTTCATTCAGACTTGTCAAGATAATCCCAACTGACTGCATTTCTGGTGTCCACTCAGTCTTTAACTGAAACGAGTACCAGGAATCTACCTGGGGGTAAAGGGCGGCTGGCACATAAGGATGACAAACTCGGTGCCCTCTGTGAGCTTACTGTCTACAAAATGTAGGGGCTTCAACATTTTACACCCGTATGGGCCTCCATGGCGTCATAGAGATAGCTTAGGGAGAAAACTACCATTGAAGGAAAGAGGTTTCACAATGTTGTGAAACGACCAAACTGAACATTGTTCCTTTGAAAGCCTCTTGACAACTTTTTCAAAAACTTTCTAAACAATTCAACACATGTATTAAAGTAGGGGGTGATTACTTTCAATAAAAATGAAACAATTTTTGATTTCCTTGTATTCTTTCTTTTTCCACACCAGTCTGGGAACTTCATTGCCAGACCCAGTATTTGATGCAGTATATACACAGATTACAATGAAACTTGGAATTAGCACTATGCCCATGGAGCCCACCCTACGTCAATACTTCTAATTTCCTACCAGTTCCATGCTGCAAACTTCAGAATATCACACCCTAAGCTAGTCAAATCAAATGTTCATTACTATGCTCTTTTAAGATCCCAGCCCAGGATATTACCCAAAGCCATATGTAAGTCTTATGAGAACAGTTTCTTGATGTAATTGTGCATAATCATCATTTAGAAGAACCCTCAATTAATTCAAGAATCAATCATTTCCCTACAGATTCATCAAATAAGAATTTCACTGTTCTACGGAAATCAACACTTTCTATAATTATGAATTTATAACTTCACCAGCCTGTGCAAAAGAGATGACAGTATTTAACGGACATCAGGGTAGGAAGTTTCCATGAGTATGAGAGAGACAAATTCACTGCACAGCTCCTGCATGATCACAAGAATAACTGTATCATGTGACTACTTAAGTATAAGTAAGACACACTATAAAGGTTTCAATTTCCAGGAGTGCACTATCAATCATGATTACGAAGGAAGTTTCAGCTGGTACTTTCATACCATTATAAGGTTAAAATGAGCAACTTTCACACTGTCATTTACATTTTATTACAGAAAAACAACCATATACAATTCTCATAATTTTATCAAAATTAACTTGAGATCATTCCAATCCATGCAAGTGGCATCAATCACAAAAATTATTTCTTCTAATTTAATTTGACTGAATCAATCAATAAACCAATCACACCTTCAAGCATCACTTTGTACAGCACTCATTAAATAAGCAGGTTACAAAACTCTGATATTCAATTCTGATCTCAAACTAACTTTGATTTCAAAATTATTCACTTATGAGTTTGCATTAGGGCCTCTCCTGCGGCCAAAACCCTGAACAACATTCACAAACCGGCGATTGTACTGTATACGTCGCTTGGCACGGCCAGTCTTTTTCTTCTTCTTCTCTTGTTTGTCCACCTGAAAAACACAAATGTAAAATTATTATACTACTGTGAGTACAGACCAAGGTATGCATATGTTACTGTGAATGTGGATACCCGCAGACTGTACACATTTACCAAAAAGTGTATGATATAATTTATTACACAAAGACAGATTATGTGCCTTTCTGATATACATGGCATTGGAGAATGTCAATAAGGTTTACTGAAATGCTGCAAACTGTTATTTGCTGTACACACTCAAGCACACGATTTCTTGCTACTAATGAAACTTTGAATGATGCATTACATCTGATGATTTAAACGTATGATTGCATTGTTATGAGCTTAGGGTTCATTACTCTTCCTTACCTTGGGNCGTACACACTCAAGCACACGATTTCTTGCTACTCATGAAACTTTGAGTGATGCATTACATCTGATGATTTAAACGTATGATTTGCATTGTTATGAGCTTAGGGTTCATTACTCTTCCTTACCTTGGGGGTCTGACCTTTGACTTTGCCAGCACGAGCCAAGGAGCCGTGCACCTTCCCGCCCTTCACAGAAACACTGACATCGATGCTTAAGCATCGCAGGTTGGTAACAAGATCATCCTCATTCAGAGGTGACCCACTACAGTAGAGGTGAACTTCTTCCACAGGAATGCTCTCCAACTCAGCTACTTGCTCCTGCAAAAGCCAACACAAAATTTTAAACACCACCACAACTGGTGGGGGGACTGATTTGAAATCTCAAATTTAGGGAGCCCCACCCCCCAAAAAATAGGAAGGGCAATTGTTTGAGATTAATTATGCATGTTCTTCAGTGCTGTATCAACTGTAAGCATGATGGCACAACTGTGAATGATGAATCAGAAATGACAACGAAGGAAACGGTTGTGGTCTCAGCCTTTCGCTGTGAAACAAGTTCATCCTCTGCAATCATCTCAGAGCCTGCTGCACATCACCAAACCACTCTGGTGGAACAAAGACACTGATCCAGCCTACCCAGGCCACCAATATTTGGACTGAGAGCACCACTGACAAGTGCATAGGTCAGCAGCAGAAACCAGAACTGCATCAAACTCCTGACACGCGCACAACAATTCATATTCATGCACAAATTGAGAAACTTCCAACTTCACAACCTAAACATGAAACCCAGCTCCTATACACGGCATCCATGAGATTTCTGAGAAGAATGTTCAAACCCAGCACTGATTTTATCCAATTTCCCTTCTGTGAGTTCTCTCCATTTTCTTTCTTTTCTGGGGACCCAACTATTTCTTTCTCAGTCCTAACCCATTAACAACTGCATGAACAGTTCTACTCTACATAGCCATAACAACATAAAAATTATGCTGAAATCTTCCCTTTATACAACCACTTTTCACTCAGGTATCGGACGTGAACACTTCTCACTCCAAAGTCTAACTCACACATGGCATTTCAACATAGGAAATAAGAAGACCAAGTGAATCTCTGCTTACTGTACAGGTCAAATGCAGTAGCTACAGTAACATGAGGCCCAGGATTTATGAGTGGGTTAGCATATAACTGCATTGCTTCCTTCACAGCAGCTGTTCAATGATTTATTTGGATAAAATAAAAAAGGACTTTCAGTATGTACACACGCTTGCTGTTATGGTATTGTTCGAAAACGAAATATCCGTATGTCAACTTGATTAGGCAAGTGTGTGACATTTCTGCCTCAGCAGCAGAATGATTTGCAACAACTTCTTCTCCCATGATCACACTGTATAATGATGAGCCTAAAGGCACCATCTGCCTACAGGAACTGCAGGAAGCCATCAAAAACCTCAGACAGGAATGCACACTTTTGGAAGGAACTTAAAATGTTTTCCTCCAAAATGCCATGGTAGTTCATGCTTGCAGTTTATTTAGTATGCTGTAATAACTTTGATAACACAGTGCTAAAGCACTGGATGAAAGCAAGTAATGAACTGGAGAGCATGTAGTAGGAAATGGTCATATACCAATTTATGGTAGTATCCCAGCACTTTCTCTCAGCAACCAAAAAAAAAATCAATCTCTTCCAAATGTCTTTCTATTTGGGTCAAACTGGCTCAATTCACCCAGTTCAGTCAACTATAACCATTAATTAATACAAATATAAAGCAGTTTAGCTGACAAATTTTAGTAAAACTCCCAAATATTACTTTTATGAAAATCTGCTCATTTCTTCACAAGTTTACATGTGAATAGACAGGCATGGCAAAGCTGACAGGGCAATTCTGCAACTCTTCGCTGTAAATGCATCACATCACATAAGTTTCTTGCATTTTGGTGTTTCTAAACTCTGTGAAATAAAGTGTTCAAAATTGTACTTTGAGGAAAGCACATCAACCACTGATCCAGTTATAAGTAGAAGTGAAGTAATTCACTTACTCTGATCTGCCCAACAGACTCACTGCCTTCACAGTCAATAACATGACTCCCCTGTCCTCGTACAAGCAGCTGCATTATGCTTTAATCTGAAAAAGAAAGAACGCTTAATTAACACATTCACTGAAGTCAATTCATTGGTCAACCTTTAATACTGCTAGACCTCAACTGTGATTTCACACAAACTTTCATTTTGTTTGAATAAAACCACATTACACTGTATCACCAATGCACAGAGGTCCATAGATGGGTCACTTACATCACTAGGCATTACCCACTGCCTAGTACTTCCTTCTTTCTTCATTTCCCTCTACCTAGCCTTACATTTATAATGCACTTCTGTTTAGTCCATGCAATAACAAGGCAGCTCCCATGAGATATGACAGTTGAATGAAGTCACAGTAAATCTCTGGTGACGTATCTATCACCTTTGGGTTGGTTGCCTATGTCAAACTAGGTCATTGCTGTGAAAGGAACAGTGTAGCCTTAAAAGTCCAGGAATCATACCCACACTTGTTTCCCTAAGCTAGTGGAGACTAAATCTAGTCATCTATCTCACTTTGGGTTTATCTGTAAAGCCCACATGTTCACCCCTGAGCTTCAGATTTCTAAGCAATTGTATCCTTCTGTTTTCCTTTTGTCAACTTAAAGCTTTCACCCTTACTATGAGGGAGTGCCTGCTTTTCTTCAGATCTCTGAAGTGTGAGGAAGCAGATCCTTAAATAACCCAGTATGCACCATGACCAGTAAAGAAGAAAGTGCCCAAATTTAAAGGGACTGCACTCGTGCAGTCAACAATTATGTGCACCTCACTGCCAATAGCCAATGAGAAGCTGTAAATTTGAAACCTTTCTTTTCAAAGCAACAAAGAGGGATGCTATGACTTAATGTCTTTGACACTAAGCAGTCTCAATTTGGGCTTTGAGCAAGTCGGACATATTCTGTCACATTAGTGTGCAAGCATGGTCAGTTGTAACTGTTCGTCAATTTATTTTAAAGTCATAACCTGACCTGCCGGTTACACATATATGTAGATGAATTACATGTTAATATATACTGGTTTTTCTGCGTGTAAATGGTTTTACTGCATTGCACAAAAAATGAAAACGAAGCTTCTTTATGTCACCTACTCGTATACTACTTAAATGCACACTGTATATCCTTGAGAAGAACTCAAGCTCAAGTGTAGTGGCTGGCTACATAAAATTCTTCCCACAACTTGGAACAATTATTTTCTTTCAAATGCTTCAATCTATATTGTGAGACTAACAGAGATACAAATAATGATTACACAAGGTATTCCGTGTATAATTTCCAACAGCTGGAGTTGGGTCAGCGACTGGCTAGAGACTGGACAGTCAAGATTCGATTCCTGGCAGGAGCAACAGATTTACATCTACACCACAGCCTCTATTTATAAAGTGTATTTGTTTGCCTGGGATGGCAAGCGTAACATGTATCACGGCATTCATAAATGTTAGTGCCCAGCAATGTAAGTGTATTACCCCAAAATAGGTCGTACTGTTAATTACCACCCTAGCAATTATGAAATCTGAAATTATTCGTTGTTTATCTTCCACATAATTGTCAAAACTGACTTGCTTTATGGACTGATTAGACACCTGGCATCAAACAACAAACTGCATGCACAAAAAGTGACATCCTAATACACAATGCAAGACAAAGCAAGTAATATATACCTTTTTTCCTCTCGAGCTTCTGAAATGTTGAAAACTCTAATAAAAGCGGCTTTCTTTTCATACGGAAAACACGCCTTCTGTCCACCAAACCACTTCCGGAACAAATAAGACGCAAACCGGTATCCCGCGGAAACTCAATTGGTGACCTCGTGACGTCACGACTACACTACTACACTATCTATAATCAGCTTTTGGTATAAGATGGGTGACGTCAGTGCTGAGAGCACGGTCGGTAAGAAGGCATTCTATCGTATCAGTTTGTGCCCCCCCCCCAAGGGACACGTAGTTCTGAAGAATACCAACAAATAATTTAATACAGTATTATATTTAAGCATCCTGTTACACTCTACACAATACATGACACAAACTCCGTCCTAAGTGCAAAAATTTATTGTAGTTCTTACGTCTTCCTTTCTTCTACACATGTTTCGGCCGTAAATGGCCATCATCAGGTGTATATTCTCATGTAGCTGCTACACTGCCGGTAGTGGAAAACTGGAAAACACTGGAAAACACCAGTCTTCCCAATTATTCACTTCTCCGTTGCTAACAGGTCCCATATATCAGAATCCTTCCCGCTTATATCTGTCAGATATTTACAAAATCTTTGTTAACCTACACACGTCAATTTGATTTTTCGAAAACTGGCACGAATCAGAGTTCTTCTTGATGAGTTTGTGTTTCAGCTAGCCAAGAAATTCCTAATCTTTAAAAAAACAGGTATTCACAGGAGTCCGTAAGTGAACTGTCCTAAGCCAGTTGAATCTGGTCCGCATCCTCAGACTCTTTCTGTAAGGACCTCATTAATACTCGTAGTAGCCTCCCACCTACACCTACGATTCCAAAGCCGTGTGCTCCATAACTTTGCCAGACTAAAATATTTCACGCATTTCTCATCTCATGCTACCCGCACAATCTGTTTCTTTCATACTGATTTTTATCGTTCAAATAATATTTCTTAGGTGAAAGAAAAATATACGTTTGCTTCAGATAAGTTTAAAATACGTAAGTACTGATCCGTACAAGTATCTCAAATTTCAATCGCCTTATTGTTCTTTCATTGTTTTCTCCACGTTTCCATGGATTTTATATTTTATCATAAAATGCTCTCCTCAATTTGAATGCCCTGTTCCTACGGATTTTTGTAAAGTTCTGTAATTGTTTTCTTGTAAAACATCTCGTTTAAAGCCTGCTCTTGGGTATTTCGTGACATATATATTACAAAAGAGTGTTCGGAGGAATTTGACGGAATACGTGTATTTTTGTCCTCTTGCCAGAATGAATTTCTGTAGGTTGCAATAAGGTCCTTCATATTTTTCATTATACTATTATTGTTGTTGAAAAATATTATGTATTCAATGCGCCCTCAGTCGCGCAGCATGTAGCCTGTCGCTATACCGACTGAGCTATCAATCCAGTTTAAAATGTGGAAATATTGCATTATCTTTGATCAAAGTTCAAAATTAATTCTGTTTTTGTTCTTGTAGTTTAATGGCACTCACCATACAGAGCTGCGTGATGTTGAGTATAAATAATTTTGTAAGTTGAATAATTTTGGTCTTTCTACAAAATTATTAGGAGCTACACAAGAAATTCCCGAGAGATCGATCACCATCGATCCATCGATCGTTACTCTTACTGATATCCAAAATGAGAGTTCGTCCGGTGTTAATGGAGATGACCGGTGATGACACTCAAGTTTTCATCAATGATAGTAGTGAAACAATTGAGGTAACGAGTGTTTGTTGTCATAAATTTAAAATAGAACTCAGATCAGCACAAAAAACTATTGAACTGCTACACGCCCAATCGTACCGTAAGTACAGATTCATGTTACTTCCACAGTTCTAACTCAAGGGGGGGAACTGGGTTCTTATGTTCATGAATCTCCGCTGGCACATCTGGCTAACCTGACTTAGGATTTTTCATGGTTTTTCACAGTACCACCAGGCAAATGTTGATTGGACTTAGTATCCCTAATCAGGCACCAAGATTTTTGAATACATTATTTACTAACCATCAACCATTTGATACTATATAGTTTCCGCTACGAAGTGTGTTGTGAAATCATGAAAGGAAATGTGGTGCAGGAGCAGTTTTGCATGTTATTAATAATCGGACACAACTTTCAGCTCCAGAAGAGATACTGTCCAACATCAAGATTGAGCCCGACGACAGCGAACTGGAGCTACAGATAGCCCTCAAGAAAGCATGCAGACTGAAGCTGCAGGAGACTGTTACAGAATTAAAGAACAGTGTAGGAAAGGTAAATCACATCGGCAGATTTCCTTTTTAATCCTTCTCACAAATGTTTAGCTGTAGTAGGGGTCATTTCTGTTGTTCAGTCGAGGCCATCTTCCCCTTACCTGCCTCTCTGCTTTTCCTCCCTGATGCAAGAGAGGAGCAGCCCTATGGATAGGAGGTGGGAGGTGATGAATTTGTCCCTAGCTACAGAATCCTGTGCCATGTTTAGTTCCTACAATGTCTCCATATGTTCCAGTTATAAAATGTTGCACAGAACTTTGTAGTAAAGTTCATTATGATGTTTCCTCCTTGGTTACTGTAGAAAACCATTGTACTCTAGAGAAAGTATATTGTAATTTAACCTGCAGGATATTAAATTGTTTCTCTCACAGTCTGTTGTAGTGGGCCTCAAACAAGTAAATCATATCACCACATTTAAGTAATATCATCATCCTTTCTTACTGTGCTACAAACTGAAAGGTCATGGGTTCAATTCCCAGTTAGGTAATTGGATTTTTAGATTGACTGAATCCTTCCAGTCACACTATGACCCTGGGGTCAACTCAGCCTCTAAGAGAATGAGTACCAGGAATATTCTTGGAGGGTAAAGGGCGGACAGCATGTAAGGCTGACAACCTCACCGCCATCTGTGTGCTTATTATCGAGAAAGTATGGGAGTCTCGACGTCTCGCACCCCTATAGGCCTCCATGGCCTGTTACAGGGAGAGCTCTACCTTTTTTTATACTATCATCCTTTCTTGTATTTTGGTTATTCAGACCTGTTATGACCTCCTGTCAAATAGGTACCAGGGGCTGTTTCCCTGGGTGTGGGAGTGGCGTGGAGCTGGCCACTGACCTCCATCTAGAGCATAAGTATTTAAGCATAGGGACAGCTTTGCATTTGTGGATACTACAAAACAGAATGCTATATAGCTACATAATTTAACTGTTTGTGATTTGTGATGTTTGTAGGTGGCAGAGTCAGTATTGAAGAGAAACTCAGAAGGAAACATGGAAGGTGGTTCCAGTGTGCTGAATGCTACAGCAGAATTCTGCTGTACGTTGGGTGACATCCCCATTTATGGTCTGGCTGACAACTGATGATGACGCTCAGGAACTGCTTGTGAGTGCAGCATAACCGTCTGCAGATAAATGTACACTTGGCAAGGCACTTTGATTTAGCATGTGTCAAGACTAGAACAGTCCATTGCCCGTCTACGGTTAGTTACTGCAGCTGCAACAGAATTGGAATATATTTTAATTACAGTTGAATTCCATGATAATGGATAAATAAATTATTGAACTGGAAACATCCAACAGAAATCCTAGAAATGAAAGCACTCGTTATAAAATAAGAATGTGACAGTTGAGATGGTATAACCTTTTTCTTCTTCTTGACAAGTCGTACCTTCTGGGAAAAAATGCTGTATAATGTGATAAGGTCCATAAGCATTTTGAAGGAATGTCAGTAGACTTACAGGATGTGACTTCCCAGAAGATAGTGACTTTCTTAATCTCCTCTACAAGAATCTCAAATCCAGTCTTTTTCCCCCATCTGTTATTTCTTCTTTCTCCCTGTGCCATGTGCATGATGCAAAGGTAGAAGAGACGCTACTAGGAATTATGTGTGAAATTGAAATAGGGATGAATAAATAGCTCAGAACAT